AAAAAAAAAAAAAAAAAAAAAAAAAAAAAAGACCAAAAAAGGGGAAAAAAACAAAGAGAGAAAAAACACAAAAATCGGTACCATTATTCAAAACGATATAATTCTGCAACATTTTTCGTCAAGTATTCATTATACCACTTTGATGAAAAAATTTTTACTACGTTATCAAAAAAAGTAATAATTAAACAGCAATATCTACATCAAAATTATCACTAAAAGACCATTCAGAAATGTAAAAATTTGATATGACTATATAGTTTAACTCCTAATAAGCATTACGACATTTTCTTTCAAAGTAAAAACCGTGCTCTCTGGTTCGTTAGGAAACTACATACTTCTGAAAAAAATAAAGCTAATTTCGTACATACGTTCGGTTACGAAGACAACATTTACTCCTTGCAGTATTTATTTTACTTCTGCTCATTTTTCTTAACCTCTACATAATAATATAACCAGTTGATTAATCCTTTAATTCAGATTTTGCATGTCAAATACAATATTTCCAATGAATAGATCAAGTTTTGCCGTCTGCTCGAAACATCTACATCCAAAATATCATGTCGAACTTTTTAATGAAATTTCGTTTATAAAGTCTCTAGTCATATAATCAACTCGTCCCCTAAGAGATCATTCTCATCATTCTCTGCTTCCCTATTATATTAAAAAAGTAAATAAAGAAATATTAAATCTTGAAATACTTCCATGTCATCGAAAAAAGTAATGGAACAAAGCATCTTACAAAGGTATAATTGACATCACACGCTTACAGCACCTGCAAAAACCCAATTCTCTGCATTAGATATTCTGATACAGCCAGACTGCAAAAGCAAAAAATCAATGAAAAGTTCTTCTAGTTTAAACATGCCTTTGCTAGCAATACGCTCCTCATTACCGATCATCGCAGGAAGTGAATTAAAAAGGAAATAATAAGTGGACACTGGTAATCCCACTGCACACACAGCGTTCCAAAACACGTAAAATAAACCCCAGTTCATCAATACCTTGTCATATTCATCCAATTCATTACCACCTTTATCAACAACAGTAACATTATCGCTTGCAAAAAATAAATACTGTGTCAGCTAAACGTCAGAACAATGTGCATTTCCATGTTAACGATATTGATACGTTCATTGCCTCCAAAAATGCCACTTCAAGAGTAACAAAATAAAACACCAGTTCGGTTACGTTGTCATCACTTTATCTAATGTCAAGCAAAACAACTTTTTGGTTTT